CTAACTAACAACCAAGAACTCCTGATAGTAGACCCTCTTCCCTTTATTTTGACCATCTGTATAACATTTCTCAGCCACTTTCAATCAAAAAGTAGGTACCCTTAACTTCAATCAGCTTTGAGCGCCGTGATCCGGCCGACACTCCACTTAGCGCCTCCACTTTAGTCAGACTATTAGAATAATTATGTTCGAAGTGATTCATCATGCACACCTTGGCTCTTACATTGCTGGGTTCCGTTGCTCACGGTGCGTCCCAGCAGCCGCCCAGTACCGTCGCCACATACCGCGAGTGGAGCATACCACCTATCAGAAACCTTGCGGTACGGTCGGTCACTTGGCATGGCTCTTTTCCTTCTTGTTGTCGGCATGTTTGCTGGCTCTCGCGCATACAACCTATTAGGATGATGACCCTACACAATCACGCTGAAGGTCTCTCCAGAAAATCTAGCCGGTCGGTATGTGATGGAAGAAGCCGCGTAGAAGAGAGAAATAGTGGCGCATATTGTGCCCTCCGAAGTCGAAGCGCATGGTCGAGCATACGTGAAGTGTAAATTTATTTATGAGGCACTCCCTCGCTGCAGATTTCCGTTTTTTCATCGAGCCCTTTTGCTGGAACCGAGTTGCCGGCGGCGGATTTGTTTTTATTCCGAGGTTTCCACACCCATGCCGCATTATCGTTGGCCATTTATCCACGGAAAACTGATGGGTGGGGATGGCTGTTTTCTCCGCGGTAGGGACTGTGTAGTACAAATTAGCGTGACATTGACGAAATCACACCGGCAGATATGTGTAGCTTCGTTAATGAAGTACTTTATAGTTACGTGTGTGAAAGGGCACGCTTTCTCCATGCACTAATATAATTGATTGGATTGGGATAAGACACACCCGAAGTTCGCACGTGTTTGTGTGCCTTTCAGCATTGAGATTTGGTATTGTGGCCGAGGAAGTTGCTGGCGTTTACGATGTAGGCACATTCCACTTGACTTCGGCTAAATAGCAATGTTTTCGCTTTTTGTCACAGCACTTTATTACCCTGTGTCATTCGTGATTAGTTTGTTGACTTTTGATTTCACTTTAATGATGGTTTTTCTGCGTAGAAACGTTTGAGCTAAGCCGATTGGATCGCAGTTGCAAAGAAGAGTGCAGTAACCTCACAATTAACTGCTGTGAAACTCCCGTACCGCTGATAGATCACCTCTAAGTGGTGATTTACGGAGTAAAATCTACCACATCGAGCTCTGACCCTGAGCTCTTCTTGTTGACCTGCATGAGATTCGCTTTCAGGCGTTTTTGAGGATCTTAGATTTGAAACAATAAAATGCCAGAGATTTTAGCTACTGAGGCCAGTAATTCTATGTCATTAGTCAGTGCATGTCGCATCACTATTGAGAAATGTTGAAATATTCGGCTATGATACAGTTTTTATGCTAGCCTTTATCGTATGGATCGAAAGAATGCACAGAAACAAACTGTGTAGATACATTTTATTAATATTCTGGAGAAATAGTTTCAATAATATCCTAAAGGCCTATTGAATATGTTATAGTTGAAACACATCCTAACAGGAACGTACAGTCATAACAGGTACGTCTACCCTATATGTGCTCTGAATTGAATTAATGATCTACTTAGTTATACTCAAGGAATAATAAATGTCTCTCACTGCATATTTGCAGAAAATGGTACACTAAAAATTGGTTACACGTTTGAAGCAATGTAACCAAATAGAATGAAGTTTTAAGTAATCTACTTTACTCTCTAGATAGAAAGTACATTCAACATTCTACATTTAGCATTGAGCTACACGATATGAAAAGAAACCTTAATAAAATTGTTGCCCTTGCTTAGCTCTGAGTCTTGACTGACTATACACTAGAGTGGTTCAATATATAGATTTAGCTCCACCAAGCTCAGTCGATTTCAAATCAGGTCCTGGTAATTCTCCCAAAATTTGAGCTCGTTTGGAAGCGAACTCACACTACATGTTGATATGAGAATTACTGTGGTAAAAGTGAATTTTTTGTTCACATCGTTCTTTCGCTTCCCTGTAATGATCTGCGGAAAAGTTTGTTATCTGTACTAATGTGAAATTTTCTCAGCTGCAACTTTGCTGAAGACTGTTCAGCAGGCAGCATTGATGTGCTTGGTGCGAAAATAGGGAAACGAATCCAGGCACTATGTCATAAGTATTGCATGATGCAGTGTTGCCCTGAAAGCAGTCCATTAATCATATCACAAAGTTATCGGTTTCGAAATCAATTATTAACTAATTACCTTGAAGTCTAATCAAAAACACATCGTGAGCAAAGTTGTAGCTGATAAAATTTCACATATGAACCGATAGTAAGCTTTTCCGTAAATTATTATGACGAAGGGCTAGGACGTTGGGAATGAGCATGAGCATGAGCATGATTGACCGCCCACGGATGCTACTCTGTCTGCCAGATCAGCTGTGATTAGAGGCTGTTCATTAATACTTAAAAACAATGTTGGTTACGATTTTCAACAACATTTTTCCAAACGACCAGTTTTTGTATGGTCATGTAGAAAAAACGAAGGGAGAGCAATTATGTCCAATGAATTTTAAAAAGGACGTATCTGCTTTTGTGTACATAGATTCAAACGTTAATTGTTCAATACTCTTAGATCTTCCACGCAAACTAAAGCCACCATCAGGTAGGGTAAAGTTTCCCCAACATTATGGTTGTGATAGTTTGCGTGGGCAAGCTAAGAGTTTAAAAAAAATGACGATTGAATCTTTGTTTACAAAAGCAGACAAGGCTATTTGAAAATTCATCCATCATGTATGAATTTTTTTTTTAATTCTCACGTCTTCACGTCTGCATTTTAAATTTAAACTGGACTTAGAGTACCATTTTTTTTTTCTAATTCTAATTTCACGACTCCTCGATTTCTTGACCTTCATTTGTTGAAGATTGCGGTTAATTTCATTTATCTCAAAATCTTGAAAATTTTATATGAATTTCTCCATCCCATTATTAATTACATGAATCCTCCACTGAAGTGCCTCAGGATTTTCACATTTTTATATTTTGTAATTATGAATCCGTTTAATTAAAGGTGGCTGCAGTGCCTATAATAGCATATCAGCCCAATATGGATTTTTGACAATTTTGGTATAACAGCGCTATCCACTATCAATTGGCATCAACTTTCATAAAGCTCGATTCAAAGGGCCTTATTGCGGGTGTCACTACACGGTGATAATGAAGTGATACTCAGAATAAGAGCCGTAATTGCCATACAAATCAAATGGTAATCACTTCACCGTGACGATAAGTGACAAGTTTTCACCGTGAAGTGACATCCGTAATAAGCCCCAAAGTAAATCTGGACGCACGGTTTAATACATGGTTGGAACAAAAAACGTTTGACAGACATTTGTTGATGTTTCATTGACGAAGAAATTGGTGAAAAGTTTTTATTCGATTGATCGACGCATCCCGAAATTACGGATCATTGAGCTTGAGAAAAGAAAGTTAATTGTGCACAAACATCTAGAGAACCCTCCGTGGTCTGCCTCAAAAATAGCAAAAGTGTTAAAATTCCCAAAGACAACGGTGAGTCTTGTAATCAAACGTTACAAGGATACTCTGAGTGTGGATAGAGCACAGCGCATCTATCATAAAAGTGGCACTAGGGACAAAGAGCTGAGGAGAAAGGCGTTGAGGTACGTGAAAAGCAACCCAGGTGTCTCCATACGTGATTTGACAAAGAAATACGATTTCAACTTTTCCACCGTGCGTAACATCCTTTCAATAGAAGGATAAAAGTCTTTTTGTGCCAGTAAACATCCGAATCGCTCTCTGAAACAAAATTTAGTGGCCAAAAAGCGAGCACTATACGAACGAGTTTTGACGAAATTTGATGGCTGTATTTTAATGGATGATGAAACATATGTCAAAATAGATTATAAACAAATCCCCGGACGAAAATTTTACCTGGCAACTGGTCGTGGGGATGTCCCTTCCAGGTATGAATTTGATTTTGCCGATAAGTTTGCTCGGAAACTAATGATTTGGCAAGGAATCTGCAGTTGTAGCCTTAAAACCAAGGTTTTCATCACATCTCACACAATGACGTCGAAGGTTTACATTAAAGAGTATCTGAAAATGTTACCTTTCATGCGGCAACACAAGACCAACGTTATGCTTAGGCCGGATCTAGCCAGCTGCCACTACTCTAAGGAGGTACTAGAATGGTATGCTGCAAACAATGTTAATTTCGTCGCCAAATAAATTAATCCACCGAATTGCCCTGAGTTCAGACCGATCGAAAAATATTGGGCAATTGTCAAGCGAAAACTTCGAGGATGCGGTAAAGAAGTTACAAATGCACAACAAATGCGTTTAAAGTGGAATAAGTTCGCCGGTACAGTGTCACCAGCGACTGTGCAGATCATGATGGCATCGATCACAAGTAAACTGTGACAGTTCGTTCGAAACGTTGAAATGTAATAACTTTGTTGTATATCGTTTGAAAGCTGAATAAATACCCTTTTGTTTGACGTTTTGATCGACCGTGTATGTTGTTTAATTCTTGAGTTATGATCACTTGAATGCGTCCAAATTTACTTTGAATCGAGCTTTATTATGTGATAAAACTACGGACTATTTTGAACAAATTTAAAAAAAACATCAGTTTGTCCCATAAAGCAAATCGCATATCAGTTCCACCTTAAAATTCAATCGTGCAGAGCTCAGTTTACGATGGTTTTTTTAAATATTCACATGGAAATTCGACTGCCATTTTCTCAATGCCTACTTTTGTCATATGGGACTGATATGCGATTATAGGCAGTGTACCCTAATGTACCCAACTTGGTGGAAACTATTTTTCATTTAGAATTAAAATGCGTCATAGAATTTAACTTCCAACATAAACATCGAACATCGAACATTTTAAAGTGTTATTGTGTTGAACATATTATCACTATTTTTTACATTATTACACATTTAAATACAAAAATTCTAACACGTCTAATGATCCAAATAGCAGTTATGATCAAGGAGAGCTCCATCCGCGCATGCCATGCACGTTTGCTTCAGATCTTGCCAGCATTCTTCACAGTACACCAGGAAACATTTATAGCTATCACATTCGTACAAGTCCTTTGCCTCCTTACAGCCGCAAACGCTGCAATATTTCCTATGGATTATCCTGATCCAACCACAGCACAGCGGGAAGAAGAATGCTAGACGATCCAAAAATCCTAACCTTGAACCGTACTTCATCGCCCGGATGTATTCTCTCAGTCTTTCGGCTAGCAATCTTTGCAGACCTTTCCTTCGTTTGAGCATGCGATTGTACAAGTACAGAATGCGTTGCTTTTCACGCTTCGGGTAGAACCAGCAGCAGATCAGTCGCCTCATTCGATTAATGTAAGCTTCGTTCAATACAAGGACAGCAACTCCCAGCAAGAGCAAGTAGATTTGCACCAAATTCCATGGTTCCAGGCTCGATGGTCGTGGTAAACATTCTTCGTTCGATGTTTGTAGATTCACCCTGATGTGAGTGGTGAAACCTTCAACCGATCGTCGAACCATCATTGCGATCACCCCAGTGCCAGTTACGGTAACGTTAACATCATGATATCCTTCCTGCTTGAAGTCTACCTTCGAATGTCTGGAAACAATATCCAGTGTTTCGAAAAACAATCTATCAATTAAGATGAAAATCGTTGCCGAAATCGCTTGCAGAAGCAAGGTCATCAAATGAACGAAAATTTTCCTCAGCTCGAAACGAGTACAAGCTGCCGAGTCTAGATCAACTAAATACGGTTGCTCGACCCATCTCAAAGGAAGTATGCATATCTTGCCCTGTTGCCTTCTTCGCTGATCCACGTGTTGGAAGTAGTCAGTAATGTAATGGTTCTCAAAATCGAGCTTCTTCAGATAACTTTGATGGTAGGACATAGCACCGAAAATAACTTTTACGAATATAAATGCAAAGATCTTTTTCAAAATAAATACCACCAAATCAAACGATTCCTTTTTGCGTTCAAATTCTTGCACCACTTGCTTACTTGTTTGCTTTGCCGTCCTTAAAGGGATTAAACTGTGACACATTGAAACGTACCAAACAAGTTAGATAAAACTTACAAATATCCTTCATGTTGTTCCATATCGACGAATTCATATTCAATCCTTATATCCTTCAAATCCCCTACCAGATCTTCTCTGGAGCTTTTCAACTGACCATAATCTTGACCAAACTCGGGATCAACAACATCCTCTGAAGAGCAAATTTCATCGTGGTCCCCAAACATTTCACTCGCACTGCACATAAAATCAATCTTCAAGGGCCAACATAGCAAATAGTTAACCAAAATTGGCAACTTCTCATGACATTTGTCGTAAACCCTTTGAAATGCCTGCTTACACCGACCGACACCTCTTTCTAGCTGTGTTTCGCAGCGTTTTCGTAGTTTGTGTACGTATTTTTTTCGATACTGCTCAAAAGCGGGATCCATTTCACGTTCCTGTCGGTCGAACAGAGATTCATCATCTGGACCTTCCACTTCCTGTTCGATCGGTTCCATAATATCCACAATCGTGCTGAATTCATCCTTTACCTGTTCTAGATTCTCTTTACTGCCAAGCAGTGCATTTTGGAATGGCTTTGTCGTGAGATCGAATCGAACCTTGCTCATGTTGTAGGTCAAAACGGTGGAACAGGTGAATACCCGAACAACCTCCCTTGCATTCAAACTGAGATTGTTGATCGGTCCGGTCAGGATACAACTCAGCACGATGGCTTTCAACATGCTCCTTCCGGCTTTTCCGAGAAATCCCACCAGACAAAGGGAACTGAAGCAACGAATTTGAATGGATAAAGCGCAGCCGTAGCCTACAAGATAATATCAAATTGTTCAATTTGTTTGATTCAAGCCCATTCTAAGCCTTATACGACTCTTCAAAACCATAATAAAACCGAAAATGTTACTTGGGTAAGTAATTGTACTTACCGAGAAAAAGAGATGTCACAAGTCCTACGAGAAACACTGAATCAAATGGCAGTCCAATATTCAGCAGAACAAATCTCCAAAACAAGCCACCCAAAAGTAAGCCGTAGAAATAGAGCAGGAGGCTTCGGATAACTTGATTGGTGGCGGAATCTTCGTACCAGCATAAACTGACACACTTTGGACACCGCTGTCGACAGCATGTTGAAAGCTTGAAAAAATATACTTTAAGGAACTTCATGGCTGAATGCTAAATGTAGATTGTGTCTATCAAACCCATAGATTGCTGTGTTCAATCTTTGTGTGTAGAAAATGTTAATATTAGGTGCTTCAATTTTAAGGTCTCGCCATTAAACTGAGTTTGGAAAGCTTCTAAATCTCAATTCTAGATGCTCATAAAAACCTCACACTAGCGAATCAGGCTTCAAAAAATCTTCTATCATTTCTCGCATCTACTTGCATCGCGCATAATCTTTTTGCAGGAAATCTTCAGTACCGTTACACGAACCAACTAATTAGTTTTGCCGGAAACCCAGCTCTGTAAAATCGCTGATACATAGAATATCAATTTCATACATGAAGTCGCTGTAAACTCACAGATTTGAGCCACGAAAAGATCGAAGTGACAGAGAAAATTTGACATTATTACGGCCATTTCCGGATTTTGATCCATATCACCTTAACCAGAACGTGTGATAGTATTTTGTCTACCGAATTCAGAAGAGTTATCCCTCGACGCACTTCAGTCAATGCTCCTTTTTTAATAGAGCGCAACAAAGACTTACTTCGTTACTGGGCGCCTTCAGTTGTGCAAAAGGTCATCGTGAAAGACCTCCATCCTGGGCGGCTGGTTGCTTTAGTTTTAACCTGGGCGCAGGTCATATTCATATCGGCTTGATTTATTTCCTTGTTGAGGATCAACCACACGGTGGATGTAAATTACTCAAATTTGAGTTTAATTCACTCATAATCGCCAAAAGTGCAGGAACTCAGCGATGAGTAAATTTGCCTCATGGTTTCCTGTAGAAAACCTAAAAAATCTGCCGGAAAATAAGGAAATTGACGAAAAAAAAATTCAGTCTAGAAGTACTACAAATAGACTGAGTAAATCAAATCTTTACTTTTCTCCTGGAAAAACCTGGACAAACCTGGGAAAACATGAGGCAGATTTACTCATCACTGAGTTCCTGCAATTTATGTGATTTATAAGTTAACTAAACTCAAATTTGGGTCTTTCTCATTCGCCGTGCACCATGACCCCCTTGGTCTGCCTTTGCTGCGATGTCCTGCCGTATTCCAATCCAAAGTTTGCTTGCAGCTTTCGTTTACGCCACTTCGTAGTGTTAGACCGACCCACTTACGTTCTCAAATTTCAGTTCATATCGGCTTCTGATGACATCGACGATGGAGCTCATGTTGTGAAGAAGTTTGCAAACAATTTTTATCTTTTTCCTTCCACCGTTCCATCAAGTTGTTCCTATTGCAGACGGAGTTTTTCATGACAAAAAAAAGAAAACAAAAGATGATATGGACATATATGGTCATATATCACTTGCCGTTACTGACCATGCGTTATCATTTGGCTCGTTTTTCGATTTTCATTTTGTCATTTTGAGATATTTTGATTCCCTGCTGAAGTTTGATAATTTATTAAACAATCTGAGACATTAGAGATATATTACATCGAAATTATCAAAATCCTAAACTTAGAGAATAAAAGTCAGGGGCTAAGATAAATACTAAAGATGTTGGATCTTTTCCCAATCGTGGATGATCTAGTAGATCATTTAGTCTGGGGTGCAGGACGACAATTGGTACACAGCCCAAGAAGTATTTCTCGATTACTTTTTCGAAAGAACGTATCAGCTTTTGTAAACAACGCATTTGATCGTCGATTTGGCGTAACTAATAGCTCGCCCCACATACTAACACCGCTAACAGGTTGGGGAAATTTTCCCCTATCTGATGGTAGTACTAGCATGCGTGGGCGAGCTACCAGTTACGCCAAATCGACGATCAAATGCATTGTTTACAAAAGCTGATACGTTCTTTCGAAAAAGTAATCGAGAAATACTTCTTGGGCTGTGTACCAATTGTCGAGTTAAATTTAACTTGTGGTTAATCGTGACATTTCGTAAGTTATTTTCAATGTTCAAAAATGCCGGAAATTGATCAGTTTTCAAACAGAACTCAGTCACGGTTACCAAAATTTAACTTCTAGTCGGTCCGAAATAACCACGCTCGTATAGCAAGGTTATTCGATAACTCATCTGTCACTTTTAACCATGAGTTAAATTCAACTTACCCATTGCGACACAGCCTTGGAAGTAAAATTAGGACCATCCATAAATTACGTATATTTTTGACCAATTAACCCCCCTTCCCCCTCGGAGCGTGTTTTGCAATAACCTAATACATGGCCGATCCCAACTTCTGAAACTTCTCTCCTCCCTCAACTACTACGTTATTTATGAAAGTTCCCTAATCATTGGGCAACACTGGAAGACAGCAGCACACACCACAAAAAATGGGTTAGACTAAAGAGCCTGAATTGTCATGTCAAAATTGGAACAATCGATTGTCTGTCAAAGTCATAAGAAAAGTCATTCCAATCGAGCAGAATACCTGTCAAATGGATAAAATGTCGTCTCTTTATAAATTCAGTTGGACATTTATGCGAAATTTCCCTCCATTTAATTCTCGGTACATCTTCAATCTATTGATTGAATTAAAAAAAAATCCTTATATGTTTTTTTAAGATTTCGTGCGTTTTGTGAACGCACATTTATTATTTTGCATAAGAAAACGGGAACGGGGTGTTTCTGTGGTGATAAAAATGATAAATGTGATAAATTATCAGACGGTACCTCTATTTATGCTTTTAGATTAGCTATGAAAGTCCCTCCTTGGAAAATTATGCTATAGAACGGTTTATACAACCCCAAATTTCATGGATATTCCTTCAAGTAGAAGGGACTTGCAATGCTTATCTCTTAGCATAAATAGAGGTACCGTTCAGTGCTAGGTTCTGAAATTCGAAAGTTAGCGTTCAAAAGGGCCTATTTGTAATATTCGATTCTTTTCATCGATTTTCTGTTTACAGTTAAGCGAAACAATTCAAGCTGAACATTGCATTAGGTCCTAAGTAACACTGACAAGATTCTCTTCGTGGACTTTCTCCTTGAATCCACTTGGCCCAGGTATTTTCAGCATACATATCGATAAAAGAAGTTTTTATCTAGCATCTAGCAGACAACAAGAAACGATTATGTGCTCAAGTTATTAAGGCTGTGTTCCATTTGGTGATTTTTTACTTAAATTTGGCAGATGGAAAATTTTCAAACAAACCTGCTATTCCAGCAGACTTCTTTCTGACAGAAAAGGAATCAATTTGACAGACGCTTTCTCGAAAATCGACCGATCTACAACAGAGGGATTTTCAAACATATTAATTTATTTTCGAAGTGTCAAATCTAAGTGAAAATTTTCAAAATGGTACACAGCTTTATTTTTTATTATTTGTTCAATCGGTAGATAAAAGATGTACCGAGAACTTATTCGAGGGATTCATGGCTAATTGATATCATCTCGATCAACTATGAAATGCTGCATAACATTGATGCAAAATTGTGCACTCCGTTTTTGTTTGTGCATTTATTTTTAGCGTTTTGAAGTTGAATTGCTGAGGATCAATCTCATTACCATAGAAAAATTTCAAGAGTACAGATATCAGCTCTCACAAAACTTATAACAAAGAAACTGGAACTATACGTTTGTTGCAGTCCAGTACACAAAATAAGTTTCAATTTCATGAGTGATGTCACAACCGTCCAAGATTTATGTCCTAGAAATCTTGAAGGTATAGGGAATATCAGCCATCATGACGGTCATTGTTGGACGCTTCAATGAATCACTTGAAGAAAACCTTACTCATATCTGATTGTAATTTAGGAACCAAATGAAATAGAATATGTATGCGCATTTTTATGAGGTCCTGAATTTAACCAAGTTTTACTAAGTAGGGAATCCAAAATATGTACATAGGACCGAAATCATAGGTTACTTCTACTGTATTTTAAATCAATATCTAGAAAAAATGCACGAGAATGTCACTACACAGCTTAACGTAGTCTACGTCAACCCTGCGGTCGTGTCTTGTACACAACCCCACCAATTTTTTTAAAGGTAGACTTGACCTCTTAACACTTCAGATGAATATTTGCTGCTCTGAAGAGAATAACCAGCAAATAATAGAACGATAAATAACGATATTGGACCCAATGGGCCACTAATCATTCCGCCTCATGTCAAGAAGGGGATGACATGGAAATATAGAAATTCTTAGCTAAAACAAATTAACATGTAGCCGAATTAATTGCATATGGGTCATTTCACTCCAAATTTCCGAGGTACGTGAAATTGACCTCGTCCGATTTGGGCCAAATTTTGAGGAGATATTTATTTAGGTCTAACTTTTATGAATCCAAATTTTTGTGCTGATCGAAACACCCCTCGGTCCAGGGTAGCGTTTTCTATTTTTCGAGATTTTCAAGCAAGCACTACTTTTTTATCTATATCTTCGGAACAATAAGGGTAGAATATGTGCATTTCATTCCGGAATATATTGATTTTTTCTTTATGTCTTATTTCCAAAAAAGAGCGTCATGTCGTCGGCATAAATTATCAATTTTAGTTTTCTGAGATTGAAAGGAATGTCGTTTTCATATTGAATAAAAAGAAAAGATCCCAAATGAGAAACTCTGTCTGAAGTGACTTGAATTCGACTCGATTTCTTTCCGTTGAGTTTAATTATTTGTTGTTGGTTAGTTAAGTATGATTTAAGGGGTCCTGGCTTAATTATAATTTTATGCAATTTAAAGAGTCGCATTGATATATCAATGTGTTCAAATGCCTTGCTAAATTGTGCATAGACTTTAATTTGGTTTTTACGTAGTTAAAGAAGTTCTTCGGGCAGGATTTTAATTCAGTTGATCGCATGTGTCCAAATAGATTGATAAATTATCACTACTTTTTTTTTTTGAAATTTGCTATGCTTTTTACTTTCAATTTTTCAAGTTTTTTTTTTATTTGTCTGTTGTACCAGACTGGATTGTTTGTGTTTTTGTGACGTATTTTTTTCTTCAAAGATATTTATTCCGAATTTATTTCTGTTGAAATTTTGTAGAATACGTCTACAGAAATACCGACATTTACTACATCCTACAAAAAATAATTGCCAAC